CTGCATTATCTTTTTGTGCAATGAAATAATTGCCGTGGTTTTGGGTAGTGAAACAGACGTAAACTGCATTAGTTAAAAATACTTCAAATGTTGGCTCTCCAACCCTCTGCATTTTTGGAGCAGATTGCTTTTTCAGGCTGCCAGCAGAATATGAAAATTCCTTATACATCCTGTGCTTCCAGGATGGTTTGTGAGGTATTCCTTTCCTTGGCAATTCTAACGAAAACACATGAGGGGAAAAGTGACTTTTCTGTTCTTTCCTATCAGATAGTACTAGCTTCTCACATAATGAACACTTTATAGTACGGAGACAGTTGGGGTAGGTAGAACTGCTGGTTCCCCTTTCTTGGTAATTTCGTGCAAAATCAAATGTTTTAGAGGGGCTTTCTTTGCTTGCATGCCCCAACCCATCTGCCCTGTTACATGGCTGCTTATATTTAAGCAAGTGATACTTATGGGTGAAGTCCACTCTCACCGCCCCTCACCCCCAACCCTGCCCCAACTTTAAAAAGTTCAAACCTAAAGGCAGCTGTCCGTTTCCCGCCCCCCCAATATACCCCTTGTGTGCTCTGCCAAAATTCTTTTCTCACTGGGTTCTTGACACCCAATAAGAGGCTCGGTCACATTTGTAATAATTATAAATGCAGTTATAATTGTTACTGTTTTAAAACAAGCGGGAAGGGGGGGTGGTGTGGAACATTCAAGTCCCTTTCTTATTTTAGGTAAAACATGAGGTATGAGGCAGAACAAGTTGGGCAAGCTAGTGAGAAGGAATTACCGGCTCTCTGGACGGGAAGACTTTTCTTGGAACCTGGAGGGGAGTGGGTGTGGATTGTCCATGTACCTGTGAAGATGTAGTCCTGTGAAAGGTTCAGGAGCTGCAGGGGTGTGGTCACCTTCCTCTGGACACCCCCTCTGAGGTTCATGCCATGTGCTTGTGGTTTGGGTGGGCTGGTGAGTTTCTACTATTGGTGGTTCCATGTCAGAGACGGAGGAATCCCAATAAGACATAAATGGAAGACCGCTAGGACACCTGGGAGCCATTCACCAACATCTCGAGGGAGAGAACTTCAGGATTCTCCTGATGATTGCTTGAAGAGCTCTATATGTAATGAATCAATGGGAAAAGGATTTCCTTTTTTTTTTTTTTTTTTTAAGATTTTATTTATTTATTTGTGAGAGAGCGAGAGAGAGAGAGAGAGAGAGCATGAGCAGGGAGAGCGGCAGGCAAAGGGAGAAGCAGACTCCCCGATCCCAGGACCCTGGGATCATGACCTGAGCCAAAGGCAGATGCTTAACTGACTGAGCCACCTAGGTGTCCCCGGGGAAAGGATTTTTTGTTTGATGCTCTTTTTTTCTTTATGAAGCACTCCCTGTGTGCCATTCATTTTTAAAACATTCATTATTGATTTTGCCCAGAGTGAAAAACCAAGAAGCTGGTTTCCAACTGTCCCTGGCAACGCCACCAGCTTCCATGATGGTGCCTGGGAGGCTGCTGAGGCAGAGCTCCAGGGGACCTGGCCCAGTGCTCCCGGTACTGCTTCCACCAACACTGGGCCACCTTATCTCCTTGCCATGGTGGCAGTTTACTTAAGACCGTGTTTTTGTAGAATTCCATTGCTTGACAAATGTTTGAATGCCATCACTTTAGGGAATTGCTGTTTATGGCGCCCGGAAAAATAAATCACTTCTTTTTGAAGAATCATTTTGGATTGCTCACATCTCAAAGAGATGAAATATGTGACCTCCTTCCTCTGTCTCAGTCACAAGCACTGCCTTGTTTGGAATGCTTGGAATTTTTGTCGCTGTGGTTTTAACAAGACAGGTCTCTGCTTTGGAAAAGGCTTTTGTCATAAAAATATTTTTATATATAACATATACTTTAAAAAGTTGTATATATATATTAAACTACTTTATTGAGGTATGATTGACGGGCAAGAAGCTGTACATATTTAATGTAGACAACTTGATGAGTGAGAAGATAAATATATGCCTGGGGAACAGTATAATGCCTCTATTTAACAATGCTATATTGTATACTTAAACATTTGCTAAGAGGGTAGATCTTATGTGAAGTGTTCTTACCACAAATACACGCACACAAGTAATAATAAATAAAGGGGGCAGGAGGAAACTTTTGGAGGTGATAGATATTTTTATATTTTTATAACTTTGATTTGTAACTCACAAAGTAAGGAGTGAGCACTTAATGTGTATATGGCGAGAGATAAGATTATGTTTCAGATGGTCACGATGAATACAGTTTCTAGTTCTGCCTTCAAAAGACTATTGCTAAGAGATAATCTAAGAAGTTGTCAATTATGTCTTCGTTTCTCAGGTGTTATATGTCTCTTTCTAAAAAATAAGATCGAGGCAACTGGCTGGCTCGGTAGTGCACGCAACTCTTATTCTTGGGGTCATGAGTTCGAACCTCACATTGGGGGGTAGAGATTACATTAAAAAATTAAAAAATAAAAAATAATATAGGTTGAGACTGTCAGAAATAATTGACTTTGTTGAAGAATACCTAGATCTCCTGTTAGATTGGAACAACAGGATTTACCTATTCATAACCGCTTCCTCCAAATGGGCTCTTCGTGTAATTGACATTTGTGGTGTTGGGTGGTTCGGCCTGTGTCATTCCCGTCTTCCCTCCTCAGGAAGCATTTACTGGCGGCATTTCTTCTTCTTCCTTCTCCTTTCTTCTTCTTCTTCTTCTTCTCCTCCTCCTTCTTCCTCCTCCTTCCTTCTTCCTCCTTCTTCCTTCTTTCTTCTTTCTTCTTTTCCTCTTCTTCTTCCTTCTTCTTCTTCCTCCCTCCCCCTCCTCCTCCTTCTAAAATTGTATTAAGTTTTAACATTTTAATTCCAGTATAGTTAAAATACAGTGTCTTGGAGAAGCAAACAGGTGATAGTTGTCTGTGCATAAACTGGGAAGAGGAGAGAGGCAAAATCACTCATTTTTACTCCTAATTGACCCTAAAGAGAGATTTTTTTTTTTTAACTTCAAAACACAGAATTTGATAGGCATGTTGATTTGCTCTTGGATGAGAGCTCATTAATAGTTAATCAAATAAGAACACCATGTCTTGAACCTTATTGGGCCTTTCCCAAGAAATATTATGGAAGCCAATCATTGGTTAGCTTCCTATTCAAATTTATTTTTAATCCAGTCTACTACTACTCAGGGAGTAGGTGAAAAACTTTGAATATTTCAGGTTAGTAGAGTTAGTAACTATTGATTCTTTCTGGTATGACATTAAGATAGTGCAGTTAGAGCTCATAGATATTTTTTTCCTTCTATCTAATCCAATTTGTTTTGCCCTCCCTTGATTTTGTACTTTTGTACCTATACGTTGAGATGTAAGCCACTGTGGGGCTATGTAACAAATGCCAAACATGTAATTTCTTTTGCCCAAAAATGGGGACAGAAAGAGTCTGGTTCTGGTAGGGGGAGAGGCTGTTTACAATGATTTCTGTGGCCAAATTTATTAGAATTGGCCACAGTCTTTTAAAATAGTAAGAACTTTAGGATTTTGCTTCTCTTTAATTAGAACATGGAATTTCTTGATATGATCCAAACTATAGATTATTTTCACAATTATTTTACCTCTTTTAAAGATCATCTGAATAAAAACAAGTGGAAAGGCTTCAGCTCTACTTTTTATTTTTCATTGTAGAAAAATCCTTTCTATAGTCATGCCATGTTTGGAGATAGATTTCACTCTGTACAGTTTCAGTGACCTTATGGTACTTGTAGTCATGGGCTTTTTGTCTCTTTCTCTCTTTTTTATCCCTCTCTCCTTACCCCTTCCTCCTTTCTCTCTCCCTGTTCCATCCCTCCATGTAATATCCGCTTGTGAGGCAGCTATGACATAATGGACCAGGCACTGGGCTTGGTCTCAGAAGATGGAGGTTTGAATTTTGCTCTGCTATATCCAAGTTCTGAGAACTTTGGCAGATTATTTAACTTCTTAGGACCTCAATTCATCTATAAAATGAAGGAAATAATCCTCATGGTTGCAAAAGTTGAAATGAAATGACGTATGTGAAGGAACACAATTAACACTGATGCCCTGTTGAAAAAAAAATTTATTGGTATAAAATATACATAACATAAAACTTACCCTTTCAATCATTTTAAGTGTGTCATTTGGTGGCCTGAAGCACACTCACAGTCTTGTGCACCCATCACACTATCCATTTGCAGAACTTTGTCATCATTCCAAACAGAAAGTCTGTACCCATGAAATGGTAACTCTGTTTCCCCCATCCCAGCCCCACCTTTCTACTTTCTTTCTCTATGAATTCGACTTGTTAGGTACCTCACATTGATGGAATCACACAATATTTGCCCTTTTGGGTCTGGCTTATTTCACTTAGCATAACGTCTTCAAGATTCATACTGTAAGCGTGTGTCAGAGTCTCATTCCCTTTTAAGGCTGAATACTAATCCATTGGATGTTTATATCACATTTTGTTTATCCATTCATCTCTTGATGGGCATTTGGATAGTTTCCACCTCTTGGCTGTTGTGAACAATGCTGCTAGGATCCTGGGTGTGCAAGTATGTGTTTGCATCCCGGTTTCAGTTCTCTCGGGTGTACACCGAGAAGTAGAATTGTTGGATCATATGGTAATTCCTTGTTTAATTTTTTTGAGCGATATCCTATTTTCAAGTGTCTCTCTCTCTCTCTTTTTTTAAATCTGTTGGATTGTAGCGATGCAACTCCTAAATGGTGTGTTTGTTCCCTGTGGTCTTTTCATTCCTGTAATTTACACGAGAGGAGGCAGGATGGTGAGGTTGTAAATGTCAGGATGCCAGGAGCACCTTGCCAAGGTGCCAAGCTCTGGAGCCCACAGTTCTCAGAAAGGCCTTTGCTGTGTGCCTAGACAGCATGGAAGGTGAAGGTTTGCCCTGGTGGGGCCCAAATGTGTTGAATGAATATAATATTCAGCTGTATGAATGACTATAATATTTTCTGCTTTGGACCTTCCCGTAGGGATTGAGGAGACCTGAAGAACGCCGAGGATAGGCTGATGGGCTCAGGTGACAGGTTCCAGTATCTCACCATGAGCACTGAAAATCCGACGGCAGGAGACTTGGCTCCAGCTCCCCTTGTCACTTGCAAGCTCTGCCTATGCGAACAGTCCCTGGACAAGATGACCACACTCCAGGAATGCCGCTGTCTCTTCTGCACAGCTGTGAGTTTTCCTTGATGCTTTCATCGCGAGCGTGAGAAAAAACAGATGGGGGGGAGCACTGTGAAAGGACAGGACCAGCTTCCGTGGCTTTCTGAGAAGCCAGGGTTTGCGACAACAGCCTTCTGTTTTGGAGAGTGCTTCCACCTTTGGATCTGTTTCCAAGTAGTATCTTGAGTGGTAAATCTGGTATTTACTGGTTTTGAGGCAAAGGATAATGTATGTGTGAAATTTAATTATTGGTTAAATAAGCAGAATCTGTTCTTCAAGGACTAGGCAAGGAACAAAATAGAAATATTTCTAACATGTCTTAGTTAACTACCATCTGTAAGGCATTTTGAATGATGGAGAAAGCAGGTAGCAATTTACTGAATTTTCTTGCATAGACTTGCTCATCTTCTACAAAGCACATGAGATCTAACTCTTTGACTTTGTCATATCTTCTTTTTTTTTTTTTTTTCTATTTTCCCAATATGCCGGATGGTTCTTATTTGTCATAAACAAGAGAAGCCTGTAGATCTCTAGGGGTGGGCTTGTCTCTTTTATTCTGACACTTGATATCAATGTCTGTGACCCTGATCACACGGATCCCTGACGGTTGGTTGGTTAAGGTGTGAAGATAGGAAACAGGCTGATAGAAGTGGCTGCTAGAAGCATGAACCCAGGTGGTCTTACTCAAACTTTCATTTATTCAAACATCTTTTGAGCTCCTACCATGTACCAGGGACTCTGCTGGATGTTGGGAATATAGCAGTGAATGAGATGCTTCCCACAGGGAAGATGGACACATTGAAGGAGCCATTCAAGTTTAGTGAAATCAGGGGAAGCTCGATGTACCAAAGGAACTCTCACCCACGTGGGGGTGGGAGGGACATCCTGGTGGCAGTGATGTCTGAGCTGAGGCTTTAAATAAGAGTTGCAAACGGATGCTCGTGGCCCGCGTCTGGGCTCAACACATTTTTGTTTGGATCCCCAGTTGGGGTATTTCATGAGAAAATGAAGAAGTGGTAAGATAGAGCTACTCTGGGCCTATATTGATAGGCCCAGAAATAGATGATCTTAAAATTTATTTATTTAAGATTTCTTTTTATTTATTTTAAAGAGAGAAAGCGAACAAACACGCAGGTGGGGAGAGGGTCAGAGGGAGAGAACCCCAAGCAGACTCCACGCCCAGCACAGAGCCCGACACAGGGCTCAATGCCACGACCCATGACGGCATGCCCTGAGCTGAAACCAAGAGTCGGATGCTCAACCGACTGAGACACCCAGGCGTCCCTCCTCTGTTTATATTACCTGCCTCTCTCCTGTTTGTATTTGCATCAACTATATTTTTAAACTGAAGATGGATTAAGACTCATGCAGGATGCCTGCTGGGATCTCGGCATGGCAGAGGCCTGATGCCTGAGTTACAATATTTAACATTTATCTTTGCTTTGGTGGGCTTTATATGGGCAGACTGTTAATATTTATTATACAAAAAGTATAATAATCACCAGACAAAGGCGGGTTTAATGCCCTGACTTGCGAAGGAAATTGAATTGTTCAGTTACAGTGACCAGTGCTTACATCAAGGGGAGCAAGGAGAAAGGAATCGTTAAGGAAGTAGAATCATTTATCAAGAGGTATGTTTACTAAGCATACTTTAAAAAAAAACAAAACATAACAAGTAAAGGTGAAATAAATTTTGCTCCATCTCTTTCCGCTTAGTTAATTTTTTTTTTTTTAAAGATTTATTTTATTTTATTTATTTGAGAGAGAGAGAGAGCATGAAAGGGGGGAGGGTCGGAGGGAGAAGCAGACTCCCTGCCGAGCAGGGAGCCCGATGCGGGACTCGATCCAGGGACTCCAGGATCATGACCTGAGCCGAAGGCAGTCGCCCAACCAACTGAGCCACCCAGGCGCCCTCTGCTTAGTTAATTTAATCAACACGACATGTTCTCAAGCTCGTGTATATCAATTAAAAAATTTTTTTTGGATTAAGGATTAGAGTAGGGAAAAGCCTTGGATGATTTTTAGGTAAAAGGAAAGTGACTAAAATCCTTCCCTCAGGTCTCCAATTCTGAGATCCAAAGATGACAGCGAGTAGTATTGTTTATCCCTTTGATCATTTGGTCCCCACTGAGCCGTACCATGTCCCAGGAACTGTTCTAGGCACTGGGATTTAGCAGTTTAAGAAACAAAACCCAGCAGAGATCCTTGCTCTTAGGAGATTGCATTCGATCAAAGGCAGTTGCATAATAAACAATAAACATAATAAATGGGCGAGTTATACAGGGTTGGGTAATAGGGCTTCGGGAAGAA